TAGATTTAAGACTTTGCCCATTTGCAATTATGATGTCCAAAGGATTTTTGGATTCAAACTCTGTGAAACATTTCTTATTATTTGCTAAGAGATTACTTGTGTAACGTAAAATTTATCAAAATACCAAAAAATCAGAACTACGCCGAGACTATTCATCAATGGTTGTTCTGCACAGGTTCTTAATATATGCATATAAACCTTAATAATAATTAGACACAGTGAGTCTACTATTAGAATATCTGTTTACAATTTCAGTATTTATAGAAAAAGAAATAAATCTTATCTACTTGGATTCTGCACATGCTTCTTGATGAATAACAATTTTATTAATACTTGACATAAGCATTTTCATAGTTTCCTTGAATTAAAGCAGGAACTAGGATATTACTCAATAAACAGAACAAAAATACAATATAATATAATTCAATTCATATCAACATTAAATTCATAGAACACTTCTATCACTAAGCAAACACGGATCAGAATGTACATGACAACGCTGAAAACTGGTGCCATCCACAAAAAAAAAAAAAAAAAAAAAAAACATACATAAAATTTGCGTCATTAAAACATTAGTACATTAAAAGTCTCATGTTCATTCAATAAAGGTATTCATAAAACAAAGTCATGGATATCTCCCAAAGTTTATTGATGGCATTATGTAACATACTCCCACCTTGATTTGCCACCTTTGAGATAAATCAACAAAGTTCGAATGTTCAACAACCCAGTCTCTTAGGTATCTTGATTACTCTACCACTTCTTGACGTCCGAGAAGCTGCTGAAACATCCTTCTGAATTAGACTGTCATTCTGTGATGTTGCGGGTGGGTCATTAGTAGGATGTTGATCTGGTATAATAGGCTCCCCAGAAAAATTAACTTCTAGAGGGTAAATCTTTTGGACTGGACGAACGAGATGACCAAGTGGAGTTTTGACTTTGGTGACTCTCACATGGCTGTCTCTCCCTGGGTACAGTTCTTCAATCAAGAGTTACAACACCTGCGGGAGACCATTATTTAGCTCTTTCAGGCTGAAGGAGGAGAAACATACTATGCCTCTGCTCATGGCAGATTATTTGGTGATAACAAGAAGAATCTCAGCTACTACAGTGTGCAGATGCCTTTGCTATGCAGATCTGTATGCAAGATGACCAGTTGTTTATGTCCCCTTGACCCGAGAACACAGAGGTGCCCGTTTATGTTAGGCAAGAGAACATGTCTCCTGGACAAATCAACAATGGGCATCTGCTCTTTTCGCAGACAAGTCCAAGTTCGCAATGGAGAGTGATTTAAAAAAGGTCGTCAGCTGATCTGGAGGGAACAATGCACTGGATACAACTAACCCCACATTATGGGAAAACCGAGGTACAAAGGTGGTGGAATAACATTCTATGTCACATTCATTAAAGAACTGTTTGGTGAACATGCCATCTATCTTTTTTTTTTTTTTTTTTTTTTTTCCTACGTTATTTTATTCTCAAATTGGACACAAAAAACATGCTGTTCCTCAACTTTTGGAAGGCAGTGTATTTGTATAGTGTATGTTGGAAGATATTCTGAAGCATGAAAAATGTGGCTTAAAATTTTGTTCATCAGCTAGCTGTTATTGTTTACTTAAAAAAAAAAAATTGCTGCATGTAAAAGTGTAGAATGTAATAGTTTGAACTAAAATTTCATAAGTATTTATCCTTTAACATGTATTTTTTAATTTGTTCCTTGGTTCTGCCCCCTCTCGTCAATAATTTAGTTTTTTTTTTTTTTTTTTTTTTTTTTAACTATCTCAGCTTTGGAAAATCCTTTTTGGATTGATATTTTTCCTCTCCAGAAGATATATATAAGAAAATTTGGTCGGGTTTTGCTAAAAGATCTCACATGTCCAAAATTATAATCATCTAAAAAGGTCTGCTATATGGATAAGTCTCTTAAACTGAGACCTTGTGTTTGACTGAATATTTATTTAGTCTTGCGATCTTTTTAAATGTCCTGTACAATCCAGTATTAGCCACAATCATTTCTCATTTCAAAATGTATGCTATAAAATATTAAGTTCAATTCAATATGTAGTTCAACATAATTTTACTATGCATGATTTTAATTTCCCTATAACATAGAATTATTTTTAGCATACAGTCAATTTTTAATACATTTGTTGCTATTGTTGTGACTTACCTCACTTGTGCGACAGTAGCATCAAAACAAGCCCGTGGAATTGATCATGACAAGCAGTGCAAAAACACCTGTCACTAGCAAGTGCCTTGAGCATCATACAGGTGACAATCCGATTTTGCTCAGTTCAACCCCCAATTTTGATGGAGAGTATCCCAGGGGGGATGGGTCCGAAGGTCTTCCACCCCTCTTCTATTACCACCAACCTCTCAAGACAACTTTTGGCTCACTCATATTTAGAGTACCCCCATGCTGAACAAACACTATACATTTGCAAACATCCATGCCTTTCCTAGGGTTAGAACGCGGGCCCTTCACTATGGCAGTCAGCATCGCTAACCACTATAATAATTGGACGACTATATAGATTTAAATTTGATAAGTGTTCCCGCAAATAGTAAGAGAGTAATTGTTTTATTATGTTTTCAATGTAAAAAGAGAATGCAGAGAAACTGTTTTAAATTTTGACTCTGTGATATTATAGAGTGCTGTAAAATTTAAAGAAAGCTGAAATGATTTTTTAAAGCTAAATTAAATTGTTAAAAATGAGTTTCAAAAGCAATTAACATTAGTCCATCGTGTTGATTTTAAAATAGGTACAAAGCAAAATTATTATTTTAGTCTCGTATTTTTGTTATTTGTTGGTATGCAGTGATGAACAGCCACCAAGTACGATGATAGAGGATGTAATCTAGGTGCACTACGGAAGAGTTAACTGAGTGACTTGCCTTTTTTTCCCTCTTCTCACTTCTTTGCGTAGGCATGTAAGGACAGTATTAAAATTCTCTCACAATGACTAATTATTGAACGCTTTCTTTATATATATTATGAAAAATCTAATAAATCTTATTCTATTATTATTATTATATGTAAGATGTGTTCTTTTGCAATTTCGTGTAAAACTTGCTTTATCAAGACTATGATGATGACTACCGAGAAGACAAGCTGAAAAATTGTTCTTTTCCTTACTTTGGTAATTTGTTGTAGAAATATTTTATAACATCATTTGTCTGTATTGTTCAGTTTTTTCCATTATTACAATTGTTTTAAGGAGGAGAGTTGAGAGTCAGTTGGCACATTGGCTCTTAAAAAAGAGAGGGGAGGGAGTTGCTGCAAGTTAAAAGTGTTCTGTCTTACGACACATGTTGAAAATGATGTCCTTTTTCTTGAATTTGAATGAGCATGTTCAGGCAGGTTGCTATGTTCCAAGTAACATGATGCAACACATCTGGAATGATATAAAAAATGGCAACAGTGATGTAATTATTGAGTTCTTTTGCAGGGTGTGGATATTGTCTGTAAACTTGTTGCTTAAAAAAATCCTTTAGTAGTTCGGGCTTGATAGATCTGGGGACCTGGTGGGCCAGAGACCCTTCAAAATAATCCTGGAGCCAAAACATTCCCTCACATTTTCCATAGTTGAATTTGACATTTAAGAAGTGGCATTGCTGTGTATTTCACCAGCACAAATGTTCATTTGGTTCCAAAATGGCAATGAACCAAATCTTTTGGATTAAAATGGAAGTAAACGAAACCAAATCAGCATGGCTTCAAACTGCATAATTAAGTCTCAGTAAACTTCCCTGTCCACTGCAGTTTCAAAGAAGATGGGCACTGCTATGCACCATCTTAAAATGGTGCACCAGACACTGAATTTTGGTTCCAATTGGTGGCCGAGCGATGAAGTCGCTGAACACTGGTAGTTCGACCTGAGGTTCAAACCCTATGAACAGGCTGGCTGTGTGGGTGTTTTCATGGTTTTCTCCATGTGTAATGTGTATATGAACCAGTGTCCCTTAGAAAGGCCTTCACAAAGGCATCCCTCTCCTTAGGCAGGTAGCCCTTGAGTTCTTTGACGTAATCAAATAAACCAAACCAAACTACAGACTTTGAGGAGGAAGGTGAGACTCAGAGAAGAGGTTTGGCTTTTCAAAGCTCCCTATTTGGTAATTTTGAGAAGAGACATAAAGGCTGAGAGAAACCATGCATTATGCAAGAGCTACTCTGTAGTCCAACACTGTGTTTTCATTCCCAGTAAATTCTTCTACCATACACAATTAAGATAGCAGTTCTTTTATAGTCTTTAAGAACTTGTGGGAGATATAGATATAATTTTAGCATTTTTCTCATTGCAATGTGGACTAAACCAAAAGGTTATTTTATTTCTTCTTCTGGCTTAGACATCACAAAATTTTGTCTGGGAATCTTGTCTTGGTGTCATGACTATTGTTCACTACCTCTTCTGCTAATATAGACCTCATATGCATGTATTTTAAGTTATACACAGACTCAGTTTCTTTCAATTTCTTCCCCATTCCCTGAATAGCACTTATTTCCAGAGTGTTTTCCCAAATTTTTAAGATAATTTAGCATAGTATTTTATAAACTAATTTGTTCTAATATAATGCTCCTCAATAAAGGTGTAGTCAAGGTTACTGAAGTGCATGGTAGAGGCCAATCTCACAGTAACAGCACCAAACAAATTGAGAACTCACAGTGAAACTGAAATGGAAACTTTTCTTATGCTCCCCTCCCTCTCCCACCTTCTTCCAGACTCTGTAACCATTTGACTCTCTATTTCTACTCTTCTCCTTAAACAACTGCAGTAGTGGACAGAACTGAACAATTAAGTCAAATATCAAATACAAAACTGAAGTAATGATTTTGTTTCGTACCTGTCATAAAATGAATGCACTGCATTTAAGATAAGCTTTTGGAAACATTGAAAGTAGTGATTTGTATGTTGTGATTTGCCGCTGAGTGTACTTCCCTTTTATATTATTATGTAAGATAAGAATAGGAAAGATAATTAGTGTGCATGAATTTTTTTTAGGATGAAGCAGATTCCTCTAGATTTTTGCAGCAATCAAGAAATCAGTCACATGAAGTACTGCAAAGGATAGAAGACCAAGATGCACTTGCTGATGAAGCTGGAGCTCCATTTATGCAAAATGCAGAAGAGCATTTCAGTAACATATCAGGATAGAAGGTATGTTAAGTATTCATAATAAACTGTTTATCTTAGCTTCTCTTGCATTTTGCATTTTCACATTTATTAGCACCAAACATTTAATGAAGAAAGAATATTGGATGTCTGAAAAGTGGTCATTATCAACACTGCTCAATTTATTGCTGATTTTATTAAATTGTGGCTGGTGAGGGTACCAGACAGATGTGGGGGCAACACTATTTGTGAAGATGGCAAAGGGGCATTGAAGAAATTTAGGGAGTATGAACATACCTAAAAAACTTGAATGCTTAATTACTTTTTAGGGGGGCAAACTAGCATGTACTTGATTATATAAGTATTATAGCCATGCAGTTCATGAGAATTATGTTAGTTAGTACATCATACATCTGCCTGAAATTTAAAAAAAAAAAAAAAAAATCTACCAAACTGTATTTCTAATGATAGCTAATATCTACAGCTGGGATGTCAAACTCATAGGTACACTTGGGCCAAACAAACAAGGTTTAACTTTAGGCGGGCCGCAAAAAAAAAAAAAATAAATAAATAAATAAATAAAAAAAAGTGCCACAAAAATAATAAAGCAAAGTGTATGCACATGCATGCACCAATATATCATACAAAACTATGATTGGAAAACTGAGACCATGAGTTCGGCCACATTCGGCTATCAGGAGATGCGTACAAGTTCTGAGTGCACGTGTCCTCCAAAAGCCGAAGGTAGCTGAACGCAACCTACTCACACGCATTTGTAATTTAAGTAGTGTGTGTATCAGCTCGCTGTGAGTAATCTAACAACACTGAATAAATTATCGTTAATTACTTAGCAGTAAACATTTCATTTTTTTCTTCGTCGATATATTATTTTATTATTATGTATTATTATTTGCCGATATATTGGCCGGGCCGCAAAAATATTTGTTGTGGGCAGCGAGTTTGACATCCTTGATCTACAGTATCAAGTATTTTTTCAGCTTATGCAAGCATAAAGTAACTCTGAGAAAATGTCATTCAACCCAAGTGTAGAAATCCCTGGTTGAATTTGAATCAGCATTCCATTCTGCAGGACACACAGTAATGTCATTCAACCCAAGTGTAGAAATCGCAGGCTAGAGGACTCGAAGTTCAGTGAGATTTCATCAAATCATGCACATTAAATATAATGATTTAGTGTTGTGTTAAAAGACTGTATGGGTGTACTGAATGCATAATTTTTCCTGTATGACTGTTGGATTTTAAAAAAAAAAAAAAGAGAGATTACCTATTTGAACACGTGCACCTGCATACACACACACTCTCTCTGTTACACACACACACACTTATATATTGTAAAAGCCTGTTATACTGAAAATTTGAATACATGTTGAATATAAGCATGTCCCCCCCCCTTTTTTTTTTTCCCATGTGCTTTATTTCTTCAAATTGCTAGTCTAGCTTAGCTTCTAACTTCTTTTATTTACACTGTATATTTTTATTTTCCAACCTTTTTCATTCTGTGAATTTCACGAGTTATGAATTCTGTAATGGTCATATTATTTTTTACCTTCTCACTAACTGAAAGTCATGTTTTGTTTTGAGTGCCAGATATTCAGGTTTTCTAGGAGAATTCTAGAGTTTGATAATTGCATTTACTGTTCTAAAATAATGTTTTCAGGACATGAGTTTGTCATGCTTTCCTTTCTCAAAATTTATGAGATGGAATAGGAAATTGAATGGACTCATGGTTCCAGATTTTAAGTTGGCAAAATTGTCTTTATCTCAAATTTTACTCTTGTTAAAGACTTTTTTTATCCAAGTGTCTTTTGATCCTTGTATGAGAATGTTGATTTTTTTGTGCATGGTTGTTGGTTTGGCTCCATCTGGCAATAGTTTTGTCACCGCTGCCCATTTTGCAAATCATTGTTCTTGGACAAAGCTTTCAGTTGACTCTCTTGTTATCAAAAAGTATAGTTCTGTCCTGGATGGCATGGCAAATACACGTCACGTTTTCTTATATATTCGTTATAGGCAGTCCTTGCATATTTGTGTGTTTATTTCAAATAGGCTTTTCAGGTTCAGATATGACAATGTCTTAGAATGTCATAAGAAGTACAATGTCATAAGAAGAGCTAAGATAAGTTAATATGAAAATATTGTTGTAACTTATGGGTTCATGGATGTCTCCCTATATAATTACTCAAGATGAAGAAGGAAGTTCACAATTTTTTGTAGTTTGTAAAATCCTGTACAAAAAATAATGAGCTCTGAACAGCTCAAGGAGATCATGGATATTAGGTAAATGCTTCTTAGCATTCAAGAAATATTGTTAATTCCTGATATCATTTACAGAATAAACTCCGAAGATCAATTCAGCTAACTCTCTTTGCATTGGATCAACAACTCAGATCTAACAACTGGCTCACAGAGCTCACATGCTATTGTATAAGGTGTTGCATAAATAACATGGTGAGTATGGTAGTACAATTTTTGAGATAGATCGTTAATAATAAATAATAGAATAGAATAAACAATATTTTGTTTTTGGTTGCTATAGGTTACCAGACTGGCAGCAGTTGTAGTAGGCAAGTCGCTGTAGTACTCCCCCTCCAGTGCTGACGATAACTTACAAATATTTTGGATTGATGCGAACTTGACAACCCGAGTGTGTTCTTGTCGTAGCATAATTCGGAAGTTGTGGTTTCTGTCAAAGGCTTGGAACACCTTGCACTGGAGTCCGTTAGAGAAAAATGTGGATCTTGAGATGGATTTTGCGATGGTGAAGACGCATTTGCTCCTGTGGCTTCTGGCGTCCAGATAAATGCTGGCTTAAGACGGTCGATACTAATGACAACTTCTTTTTCGTTGACCAAAATTTTAAATGTTTTTTTGTTTTGAGCTAGCACTTGATGAGGCTTTGAAAATTGTGATGCGAGAGAAGGCTTTAAAGCATCACATCTGAGAAAAACATGAGATGAGTTTCTAAGTTTTTATGCACGAACACAGTTGTTGCATGAGCACTGAAGGAACTGTCGCAATTTGACATCCATTGCTAAGTGATGCACGAGTACAGGATCTAAGTGCAGGTAGAGGATTGACTGAATGTCAAATCCCCAGGAAAACGGAGATAGTACCATATAACGTTGGCAGAAAGGCATTCAGATCCTCTTAATGCTGATCGAAGACTTAGAAGTCAGCAGGTAACACATCAGTCCATGTAATGCAGGGGCATCAAATTGATTGTTTAAGAGTGATGAAATCTCTCGACAATTCATTCGAATGCATGGGAGCTGGTTTTCACTTTGTACTGCCCCAAACTTAGTTAGTGAGTGAAGAGTTAGGACTCGAAACGACGCCATGGTAGTAGAATCTGTTTCAGAACTCCAATCAGAATTCCAAATGGTGTAAAATGCCTTGCCACCATATCGCGAATATTACCAAAGGAACGGTTTCGGCCAACGAGTAATCGATCAGCAAAGTAAGGAATAGATACCATAGAAGGCGGAATGCTGACCAAGTCGAGGTGCACGTGATTGAAGCGAGATGAGGGCAAATTAAAATTTTGAAGTTGGCTGGTGGTGCGTCTGGCAATTTTAGGTCTTTGGCACTTCAGGCACGAACGTGTCTAGGTGGCTGTCTTTTTGCATGCTAGGCCATACGAAATGTTGCTGTATCTGTTTCCTCAAAGCCTTGGTGCCAGGATCTAAGTAACTGAAAATCGCATGGTGAAACCCGGGGAAACATAAATCAAAATCTTGAATCCTGAACATCACAATAAAGTGATTTTCCTGGTGACAGCTGCATAGAGTGCAAGTTGAGATTGGTGGAAGATTTGCTTTTCAAGAGGGTTTGTAGTTCTCTGAATCCTGGTGTTGTTCATCTGCAAGGGCAGCAAAGTTTATTGGTGAAGGAACAGCTAGTTCTTCAACACGAGACAAGGTGTCTGCAACAATATTTTGTGATTCCTCAATATAATGGATATCTATTGAAAATTTCCCTATGAAGTCTGGGTGTCTCATTTGACAAGGAGAAGGTATGTCTGAACGCTGTTGAAAAGCATAGGTTAAGGGTTTGTGATCTGTGAAGATCATGAAAACGCATCCCTCTAGCATATGTCAAAAATATTTCACAGCTTCATAATTCCTAATAAATTGCGATCATAAGTGCTGTATCTGGTTTGTGCTGGTGAGAGTTTTAGAAAAAATGGAAAGTGGTCTCCATAAACTTTGCCTTTTTTAAAAGTGCTCCTATACGTTGATGCGTCAAGGTTCATTCTATCTTATTCAGTATTTTAATTCTATCTTAATTCAGTTATTTTTGCGATAGATGGCGTTACCTCCTCGCGTTTGTACTACCAGAGGGTATAAAAATCCGTTCAGTGGTGCTTCCATTATTGAAGTTCAGATTTTGAGCGTAAGGTGCATTTGCCCCTCGCTCCTATTTTAACTTCGCTAATTTTTGTCTTTTATGCTTGATCAGATAGCCTGGCTAGTAAAAAAGGCGGCCGTGAAACTTGATTAAAAATAGTTAAAACCACGTGCAGTGCTGATAAGGACCACGTGTTTCTGTGACTCCTTTCCTTTATTTTTCTTTCTAGTATTTCTTTCTCCTGATGGGAGGGACTTAGCTCCGAAACGTGAGTGTTTATTATAATTACGCTCTACAAGGTGTTTACGATTTGAAGAGATAAGGTTTTAGATGCTGAAGGATACTGCAATTTGTTGCCGAAATTAAAATAATTTTTGCATTTTTGGAACGCTTTGCAATTCTGTGGTCCAGGTTAAACATGTTATTTTTTCTTGTCCAACAAAAAAGAATTTAGAAGTTTATATGGGATGCATGAGTAAGAAACGTTAAAAAATTGAGCATAGCAAGAAATTTCCAAGTCCTTCACTGTAGATGGTTCGGGCATCGCGGATAGTGGTGACTCTATCTGGAAGGGGTCGAACGCATCAGCGGAAATTCATGACCAAGAAAGGATACTCTTGGTTGAAAAGCATTGGAAGGATTAAGATGACCGTACCTTATAATGTTAAAAAACA